GATATGCATATTGCGATATGTACATTTGCGATATTTTGTTAATTTCGATATATCGCACAGCCCTACTGTGCACCTTCTATATATAAATATTGCCCTCCTCAGCTCGTAGAAAAGCTGTTTGTGATGAGCTTTGGTTCATCATGTGACTTTCTCATCACCACCAGTTTTTGGGCTGCCGGTATTTTACCGTAAAAGTCACAGATTTTTTTTTACAGTGTACTTCTTGTGAGATTCTAAAGTGTGCATCCAATGTACTCATTACTATCCCATGAGGGGCCACAGGAGAGGAGTTGTGAGTGTAAGTGAAGCGACGTAAGTGACACCTTCATACCATGTGGAACAAAGTTTGCAAAGTAGGTACTTATTCAAAACATGAACCCTCAGAGAACATGCAAGTTTGGATGCAGTCAATGCTGATAAACCAACCAACATAACAGGAACGGTTCACCCAAAAAAGGAAAATTCTTGCATTTATTTACTCAGCAAACCTGCATGCCTTGTTCTTTTCCATATAAGCAAAAAAGTACAGTGACGTATATGTTCAATCCCCAAGAGGACGTAAAGAACCATAAATGTGTCTTAACAAGAGCGTCCAGGAGGTTAGCAAAACTAAGCAAAAAGACAATAGGCCGATTTTTAATGGATGTCAAAGGAGAAGAGGCTTCACGCTGTATAAACCGCTTTTGTGAGGAAACAACTTATCACTTAATGAATTGACAACATGTTGGCTAATCTTCAACATGTTTTCCATTAAACATTCATTTCGGATTCATCTATATTTGAGGTTTACACTGAACAAAAAACAAATTGTTTTATAAGAGAAATCACTGACAATTTTGCGTCAGGTAGGATTCAGTGTACGGCATGTCTCATTCATTTCTATGGTATAAACAAACGGCGATCAACTGACATACAACTCTGCCGGCAATTCAATGACTTCAAAGGCTATTATGTGACTGGTTATCAAGGCACATCTGATCCAAGTTGACAGTTGCTCTTTCTCCAATGGTAGAGCTGCAGAGATTGGAATCTCCACAAAATAAGAAGAGCATGACATTTTAAAATTAAGTCTGCTTCATTTTAAGGCAGCTCCAAGGACAATTGTTTCTTTAGTTGTAAAAATAACAACCACCTACTATAACTACTCTACTAAACATCTTTCTTGTTCCTGGAAGGAAATGAAGTCATAAGTGTCTGAAATAACATGGGGATGAGTAAGTGACATGTTTTTACATATTTGTGTGAATTACAGTATTGTATTTACTATACTTAAGTACAGTATAGTTTTAAAATCTAGATCTTCAATCAAAATGATTCTTCTAAACTGTGCTGTACTATTAACATTCCTATTGATTTATTCTAAGAAATTTTACTAAACAGTTAATGTAGCTAATCTTCAATACCTGGACCATTATGTCTCCTCCCATTCAATCCTATCAGAATGAGAGCTGAGATTTTTTTAATGGTGTTTCTGTTAATGTCTACTGTGGTATCAAATATCAAACATTTCATCCTTGTACCTTTTTTCTCTCCAGTGAAGGTGACGAAATCATCTCTGTCTTTATAGTCCATAGCCTCCTTCTCCAGATACTGTAGCAGTTTATCGCGGTTAAAAGGACCGGTGGCTCCTTTTGTGGTCTGGTCCTTCTGCCTGAGTCCGGCTGGCAGCAAAGCATTCTGGAAAAAGGATTCAGAACAGATGTGGTACCAGTTATACTATTAAACTTTTATATCTTATCATTTCATGCCAAGTTACACCCGATTAATTGCTTACTTTTTAAGTAAATAAGAACTATTATTTGCATTTGCTTGGTAATGATGATAGGCAGATCTGAACCTGAACACTGCATGGCAAAATTGTGTTGTTTACTACATTTTTGTTTAATAGGAAAAATTGCTGAGATATGTTTGCTTAAGAGGAAGCTCTTGTGTTTGGAAACAAACTTGAGCCCTGTTTACTCATAAACAAACAGAGACAGAGTTGTTTAAGAGAGGTCATAACAGAAACTCCTCAAGGCAGATTTAGAAATGGCCATTTTCAACAGTTTGATAAACAAGTGAATTTACTTTATAGTTGTAGTTCAAAATTACATATGACCACACCCATTATCACAATGACAACATTGTGAATTACATCATCACTTATGAGTGAATTACCAGGAAAAAGGGTGATCGTTTCTGGTTTTTCTAAGCCTTTTTTGCACTGCATACAACTTATTAATTACAAATGATTACATTTTCATCTTTAGGACTGATTCTCCACACTTTTAATTTGCATTTGCTTAAAGGTACAGTTGACCCAAAAATGTAAAGTCTTAGCCTGTCCACACAATGTCAATGGTCCCCAAAACTGGTTACCAACATTCTTAAAAGTATTTTATTTTATGTTTCACAGAACAAAGTAAGTCATACAGAATTTTCATTTTTGGGTGAACAAACGCAGTGTGATCTTGTGTATCTCCATCAGCTGCTATATGATGCAGACATTAAAAAAAAGCAAAGAGACATTCATGAGTTTACAATTGCCTCTGCTAATTTGAAAGTGTGAAGAAAGGTGCCTGTGTGTCTCACCTCGGGGTCGATCTCATCTAGAGCACTCTCCAGTTGCTTGAGTTCCTCCTCTGACAGCTTGTTCAGAATCTCATCCTCATCGATCTCCTTATACTTCTCCAGATCTTTCTTAAAAGGAAGAGCCATGATTCACACTGTCCGTCAGAGAGAGACTGCAGACCAGTTTGATTAAATGCCTGCACACAGAAAAATTAATTCATTGTCTGAGGTAAATGGATAATTCTGGTCAAAAATACATACACTAATGTGATGCATATATGAAGCTTGTCAGTAACGAACTTCAGTACTTGCGTTACAAAATAGCGAAAAAATATGTTGACAGATTTTAGAATGCAATAATGCAGGGCTGCCACTAATGACTATTTTTATTTCGATTAATCTATCGACTAATTTATAGATTAATCTAAACCAGTGGTCTCAAACTCAATTCCTGGAGGGCCACAGCTCTGTAGAGTTTAGCTCCAACCAGCTCCAAATCACACCTGCTTAGAAGTTTCTAGTGATCCTGAAGACCATGATTAGCTGGATCAGGTGTGTTTGATTAGGGTTGGAGCAAAACTGTGCAGAGCTGTGGCCCTCCAGGAATTGAGTTTGAGACCAATGATCTAAACCAGTGGTTCCCAAACCTGTCCTGGAGAACCCCCAGCCCTGCACCTTTTGTATGTCTCCCTTATCGAACACACCTGATTCCACTCATCAGCTCGTTAGTAGAGACTGCAAGAACTAAATTGGGTGTGTCTGATTAGGGAGACATACAAAATGTGCAGGGCTGGGGGTCCTCCAGGACAGGTTTGGGAACCACTGATCTAAACTATTAATTTCCCACCAAAGAAAATCAACAATTTTCCTTAAGAATATTTTATTAAACTATATTTCATTAAACCAAATGAAATCCAAAAGTAAAAAAGTAAAGTGTAACAAAGTGCAAGAAGCAAGTATCCATCTCATAGTCCAAATCACTGAAATCAAAGTTCAGTATTAAAGTGTAAGAATGACAACATATCCACGTGTTCTAGTCTACTAATAATAAAATTATAATAAAAAAACACTTTTTAAAACGAGTATTTACAATAAATATTATTTACCAGAATTTATTTAGGAGAAAAATGTAAATGTGCAGTATTTCTGAAAAAAAAATAAACTTTTTTTTTTTTAATAAAATCAATTAATTGGAGATGCTTGATTATTAAAATTGAATGGAACCACTAAAATGGAATCCAGAAAATAACAGAAAACAGAATTTGGTAAAGATAAAACGGTAAAACTCAATTAATTAGACAGGCTTTTTGATTAATAACATTTAATTTAAACATTAAAACAGAGTATAGTAAAATGAAAATGGAAAAAACTGAATTTGGAAATAAAACGGATTTCATAGTGCCCTATAATTATAATTAATTTTTTTTGTGGTAATAAAAATAGATGTAAGTGAACAATAGCCTTTAAAATTACTTAAAATACATATATAATAGCAATGAGGCAATAATAATTAGTTCCAAATATGATACAAAACATAAAACATATCCGCAAGCTTTTTTAGATTTCCCTTTTATATTTTTCAGACTATTATTTTATATGACAGGCTTTACAAGGTTACACTTCAACAGGAAACTCATTTTGCATTGAGACACAAATGATACCTCAAATCATGCAGCTTGTTTTGGATGATGTGCTGGCGGATGATAAAACAGAAAATGGAAACAACAACGACAACACAGATTTAAACTGAAGGAGGCACCTGTGCTGTATCTGGAAACAGACCATTATAGAAATTAAGATCTCTTTTGACTTGGGCCAGTAAGTTTCCACCTAACAATCACTGAAAACACCCTAACAATCACACAGCGACACCCTGGCAACTCCCATACTAAATAGAACTCTTGAGTTTACAGAATTTAAGTTAATGTGATGAAATGGAAGTAGAAACAAATCTGTTCTACTCTATTGTGATGTCTGTCTATCAGAGAGTAAATGGTTATAGAAAAAAAGCAAAGCAGGGGCTTGGTTCAATGCATCGATTGCCATTCTAATAAAATCTATAGCATGCATTTAGAAAATATATAGGGTGAATTTTCACTTCAAGCCAAAATTTAACCACAGACTTCAATTTATTCTTAAATCTAAAACAGCTAGAAAACTCTCAGATTAACCCATGGCTTAAAACTGCTAATCCCCAGCCAGGTTTTAGGACCACAAACTAAACAATGCTATCAAGTTTGATAATTTTTTATTCAAATACTTTAAAAATATTTTTACATTTATCTTGTGGAGCCAACTGGAAGATTACTGAGGCCCTCTAGTGGGCCTTGACCCCTGGTTCAGAACTACTAGTCCAGTGGTTCCCAAACCTGTCCTGGAGGACCCCCAGCCCTGCACCTTTTGTATGTCTCCCTTATCGAACACACCTGATTCCACTCATCAGCTCGTTAGTAGAGACTGCAAGAACTAAATTGGGTGTGTCTGATTAGGGAGACATACAAAATGTGCAGGGCTGGGGGTCCTCCAGGACAGGTTTGGGAACCACTGATCTAAACTATTAATTTCCCACCAAAGAAAATCAACAATTTTCCTTAAGAATATTTTATTAAACTATATTTCATTAAACCAAATGAAATCCAAAAGTAAAAAAGTAAAGTGTAACAAAGTGCAAGAAGCAAGTATCCATCTCATAGTCCAAATCACTGAAATCAAAGTTCAGTATTAAAGTGTAAGAATGACAACATATCCACGTGTTCTAGTCTACTAATAATAAAATTATAATAAAAAAACACTTTTTAAAACGAGTATTTACAATAAATATTATTTACCAGAATTTATTTAGGAGAAAAATGTAAATGTGCAGTATTTCTGAAAAAAAAATAAACTTTTTTTTTTTTAATAAAATCAATTAATTGGAGATGCTTGATTATTAAAATTGAATGGAACCACTAAAATGGAATCCAGAAAATAACAGAAAACAGAATTTGGTAAAGATAAAACGGTAAAACTCAATTAATTAGACAGGCTTTTTGATTAATAACATTTAATTTAAACATTAAAACAGAGTATAGTAAAATGAAAATGGAAAAAACTGAATTTGGAAATAAAACGGATTTCATAGTGCCCTATAATTATAATTAATTTTTTTTGTGGTAATAAAAATAGATGTAAGTGAACAATAGCCTTTAAAATTACTTAAAATACATATATAATAGCAATGAGGCAATAATAATTAGTTCAAATAAAGTATCAAAAGCAAGAAATCATATGGTTTTATTGAACAAAATTGTTAAAATACATAATGTATTATAAACATTGAGCTAATGTACATTACGCATTAAAACAAAGGCCTGCAGAGGGCGCCAATGGCTTGACGATTATTTTTACACATTACTGTGCGATCTAATCCTTGTTTAATATTGACCAAGCATCATTTCATTCAAATGTCCACTTAATCTTTAATATTTGGCCATTTCTTTAGGACAGAAATGCTATAGCCACTGTAATTAAATGAATATGTGGACATCAAAACGTGTAAACTCAGAGTGAGGGTTTGAGTCTCCGCTTTGATGTTCTCTTTTTCCGCTATATTTTTAATGAACAACGCAGCAGCGCCGCATCTAGTGGCTTCAACTGGATAGGCTAACAAAAACATTATAATGCAACGACACTTACATCGTCATCGCATCTTGTGCGCCGCTGATAAGGCTGCCTCCTTAACGCACACCTAAAATTCGAATGCAACGTTTTTGCATATACTGTATAAGAACTGCATCGCATATAATTATTTAATTAAATCGTAGCGTTTGTGAATTCACAATTATGCTTAATTATGATTTTTAAATGGGTTTAATATATCATGCAGCCTTGGAAAACAGACTAATAATGTGTTTTATACATTCTCGTCTGTGAAATGCGCCACTTCCGGTATTTTGCCGGTTAGTCGACACGAGCAAAATTAAGTCGAGGATTTTTAAAAATCGAATAGTCGAATAAAATAGATGAATCGCGACAGCCCTACAATGATGTAAAACCTATAATACACTATATTACTCATTCACAGATTAAATATTAACAATTTAATAAAAATTAAAGAATGTCCTGCCATTAGAATAAAGGCATGTTCACATCAACACAAATTGTCAAAAAAAATCAACTGCAAAAATAACATAACATTTTAACATATTATATATACTACTATATTAGTATATAAAATAAAAATTTTAGCAATGAGTTCCAGTAGCTTTAAATACCCCTAGTTATAACTATTAATATCCTCTCCTGCAACACTTATTCAAAATTTATTTTGCTTATTTTTAATGCGCTTAATTTTCTCCCAATTTCCATACACTGCACTGTAATGGAAGTTGCAGTGGCCACTGAAGACACACTACAGTTTCTTTTTCACTGACTTCAATTCATACAGATTCTAAGGCGGAAGAAAATACTTTAAATACTTTACTTTTTAACATTTTTTTATGTGCTTTAGAAAAAAAACATTACTGGTGTGTATCTTGATACAAATCAATCGCAGTGACATATTTTAAGATATGTCAGTGCAAGTTGCTTCCAGTTAAGACAGCTAAAACATGCATTTTAGTAAAATTTTTATGTGCTTTAGAAAAAAAACATTACTGGTGTGTATCTTGATACAAATCAATCGCAGTGACATTTTAAGATATGTCAGTGCAAGTTGCTTCCAGTTAAGACAGCTAAAACATGCATTTTAGTCTGGGAATATAGGCTTAAACCTTGTTAAACTGGGCATAAATCTGCAGGATTGCAGTGTTGCAGTAAAGCAGAGTAGAGTTTTTTGACTTTGCAGAGTTTGTTGTATTATCACGACAGTGTCCATAATTTTTCGAGCTCAAAGTCTAGTGTGGCCACAGCATGAGGCTAAACGTGGACATGATCATGCATACAGTCTATTTAGACCAATGTATTAAAAAAAAAACATTAAATAAAAAAATAAAAAAAAATAAACGACAGATGGGCTGAATTAAAATGCAAATTCACTCTATATCTTGTAATAGCAAGTTCAAACACTTACATAACTAACGTTACAAACATTTTTCCACTAATCAATGAGAGAGAGAGAGGCAACTGAACAGATCCTACATGTCCTCTGTTTGATATTGGACAGATGTTCCCATCTCATGATCTTTAACCTCAGACTGGAACTTAATTTTGCAACATC